CTCTGACATCTGTAATAACTAAACTTGTTATTATAAAGTTAACATTTCTTGGAAAGGGCATGAAAGCAGACTGATATGGGATGCACAGCTATTAAAGGTGCATTCCTTACTTTGTATTACATGCAGAACACCTCTCACTGATTATTGTGATCATGATAAAATCAGTTGGTATTGCAACGAATCCTGATGTTTTGGAGCACTGAAGCATAACTGTAATTACTCAAGACCATTTGCATAGCTTCCTTCATTTTAGAAGATACTTCTACATTTCAGGATTCTATTGGATAAGTTCTCTCATGTACAAAACGCAGCCTTCATGGTGTTTATGAGAGGTTTCTGCAGATCACACAAAGTGGGCATACAACTATTTTTTTTGTACTAGTTTTACTGTACATTTATGATAGTTAAGGATAGGCAATAACGACAAATTCAACAAATTTCTAGTTTATGCACTATGGGATTTAGTATATCATAGATTGACCTTTGAATGCTGTTCTAGAGGGGTTGTAATTTCGTTTTCAACATTTATCATATTTCACAATTTTGTTAAATAATTGACATAAAACTTAGTATATAATTTATTTATTCATCTTATTGTATTGTTACAATATTGCCTCCACATGCTCACGGAGAGAGGAATGAAAACCGTGCAATTGGAAAGTGATTGATGTATTTTATGTTTATTGTGAAATCCAGTTATTGCAGACAAGAGTCTACGTATTTTTTTCTACCATTCTTGCCTACCAAGTCATTGTTTCCATGGAAACAAGTTTGGTACCCCTGTACTATAATATAACTATAAACTGCTTTGATGAGACAAATTTCAATGCAAATCAGGGAAACTCACAAGTGTTTTTAGTACCCTAGGGAAATTTCCACTGATACTACCTTTTCAGTTTACTCTATTTCAAATACATAAAACTATAATTACTCTAGTTTTGTTTCTTTTTGTAATTAATGATACATATATGAAAACTCGTATCCAGTTTTAAGTATTTTTATGCCATATCCATGAATTACTCAACTATACATGTGCTTTAGGTATTTTATTGGCAATTCGTTGGACTAATACATAATATTCTGAAAATAAACCAATTATTTTTAACTGTTTAACTAAAGTGCTTTATTTATTGAAGAAACAGTTCCCTCTTTTTATCACAAAACAGTCCTGTTTAGTCAGCTTTTTATTCAGAAGACTAAAAATTTACTCAAATTGTATGTTTATTTCCAGAAATAGTGATAGAATACAAGAAAAAAATTGACTAAAAGGTATGGTCAGTATACCATTTTTTTTATAAATTTTGATATTATAAAACGACCATTGGAATTCCAATTTACCAATCCAATGGTGTTTTAACCTCATAAGTGAGCATAACAAAAATAAGAAGCAACATCACATACATACGAGTCAATCATAATTAAAAACATTTATGTATATGCTGCTCATTTTATTGTTAGATCTAAATCATACATGTACTTGAAATGTATTCACATTGTGGTCATTTTTCAGCACCAATTAAAACACTGCATAAACAAAGTTTTCTTTCGCTGGCAACTTAATTATTATAAAACATTATGGATGGCAGTTGCACAAGTTAGCAGCGAAAAATGTTGGAACATGTGAAATGTGTGCAGTATCCCGTTGCCCTTATCAGTGATGGTGTGCATAAGATTGCTTGTGCTGTGTGTATAGTGTAGAAAGCTATGAAAAGTACTCCAAAATTTTCTGTATTTCACCCGAAGTATAACCAACTTTATAATGGAACCATATACCTTGTGATATCACAGAACTATTGTGTACTAAAAACGTGTACTTCAATATCAATGTAGTGCATATAAAAATAAGAATAGATACTACTAATATTCATTTTCTAAATATTAGTCAAAGACAGTGATGCTATTATCAGCTAGAATGACCAGCATTATGTCTGAAATAAGAAAGTGCAGAGTCCAGGTTTACATTTGTTGGTTTTTGTTGATCTTCCTGTGGTTGCTGTTGCTGTTCTTGGTTATAATATGGAGGGGGGTGTAAAATTGAGGCAGTCTGAGGAAAAACTGGTGGTGGGTAATGTCCAGGAGGGGGAAAGAATTGTCCAGTAGGAGGCTGAGGGTACATAAAATTAGGAGGAGGTGGGGGATGTGGTGGGAAATTCACAGGTAATTGCTGAGTTCTTTCTGTTACAGCAGCCTCTCGTTGTTTAGAACTGTCTGCTGGTACCATTTGTTCTGTATTTCCTGGAGGGTAGCCACCATCTTCTATTCGCCACATTTTTCTGTGTTCATTCTTTGTCTTGACAGGACCTGAATCATAATATTCTTTTGGTGGTGCAAACTCAGATGGTCTCTCATCTCTTGGGTTGTACACAGGCAATGATGGTTTTGAGCGAACAGGTGCTGGCATTTTTTCTGGAATCAATATTATTTGAAAACGTTATTTAATTTTACAATGTAAAGTACACTATAATCAGGATTATTTTATTTTATTTTAATATATTATTATTGATCTTCAGGTGCAAGTTCCACCATGAACCTTTCACAATAACTGCAAACACATGTTCAGTAACATTGTACAACCAGAGGCAAAATAAATTGTAGTTTAACTTTTACAGCACTTCTGATATGGAGCAAACAGAATAAAGTGACACTGACCTTTTCCTTTGTCCCAAGGTCTTTCTGCCCCTAGCTGTCTTAATGATTCATCCCGAGTCAATAACTCGACTGGAATCTCTTCCTTTTTCTGCTCTACATCATCTTCATCATTAAACAGATCTCCCTTTATTTTCTTCCTTTGTTTGACTTTTTCTAATCTGGCCTGCATTGCTGCCTTTCTTTTCATTTTCAATTTCTCCCTCTTGACTCGTTGATCTGAAGTCTGCATGATAAATTAAATATTTATTAGTTAAGTGAATATTGTTTTAATTTTGATGACCAAGTGAGGAAAGTCCCCTTTACAGGCTCTATTAAAAAGGATTGCAAATTGTTGTTTTTTACGAGTAAATTTGACAGAGACTGCACACAGGGCTGACAGATTGTTATGTCCCTATCCAATTTGACATCTCTTCAAACCCAATACTGCTTGTTTCAAATCTGTGTATAGCAACCATACACAGTGTATTTTTTTTTTACGGAGGTTGATTGATTAATTCATTCATGGATGAAAATATGGTCATGATAATTTCTCATTTCAACTGACATTTGAAGAATAAATAAAATTATGTAAACTTGTAATTATTTTGGGCCAAAAGTTTGATCACTGGTCACTTTGACTATATATATTGTTGTTTGATATTAGTTCAAAATATTACAAAAATGCTATTCGATTTTATGCAGACAAGATTTGTGAGGCTGAACTTGGTAACTTTAATATGCAAATAATGGCATTTGAATGATGTGAATAAATGATTTTAAAATGTGATCAATCAACGCATCAAATTCCAATTTCAGAGGGAAGACAAATCCTATAGCAAATATACTGGATTCTATTTTTGGTAGTGAAACAGAGAAAGCTGGCGTATCAGAACTGGCACACATTCCACCTCAATGCCAACACATTGTATATAACTGTATACTTTATCATATCATTACTCTCAAGAAATACTAACAAAATCTCTGGTTCAGATTTTACCAGCTGATCTTTAGTGCATCAGCTACAATTCAATGGGAATGAGATAAATGCATACATGGTGCAAACACTACGCTTTTGCTTATTGTATTTTACATGTACAGTGTAAACGTCAGTAGAAATAATGCAATTGACCTCATCTCTAAGCATCTCCAACTGTTCCATTTGTTTCTTCCTAGCTTCATCCTCCTTGGAGAATGCAAAGTAGCCAACACCAGTATGTCGCACTTCTATTAAGATAGATACAATATTTATTTCAATTATGCATGCATGTTTACAACATCCTGGTTCAAACCATGTATTCCTGTCAAACAGTTCAATTTTCAATGACAAATCTTGATTGGCTGTATAAATAATGTATTTTTAATTTAATACAGAATGTCCTGGCATAACAGTTTATATTTATTAATAGTAGGGTACCTGGTATATACAGCAGGAATCATCGATGCAATTCTAATGGTTATGGTATTGTTTGTATTTTTCTTTTTTTTCTCAAAACCACAGGAATTTTCATTTCTGACAAATGTCAAATGCTTTTATTGGATCTTTCAACAGTTTTTAATGCTATAGTTAGCACAAGACCACTAATACAATTACCATACTTAACATTTTGGCCAATTTCATGCATTCATGACTCTCGATCCAAATCATTTTTGGTTATAATATTCACAAGAAATTCAAAAGAAAGAGGGGTCACTAACATTGAATTATAGCATACCAGTTAAAAGAATGGATCACTGTACTGTATTGAGGAAAATCAAAGGAGGTCACCACCAAATTAACATAGATTAAATGCAGTTATATCACAAACTACAGTGACTTTTATATCACTTGACATTTTACTGATCTAAATGCAACTCCAAAAATAATTTAATTTAGATCTTGGTATTCCCCATCCCAAGAAAAATTTAAAACTTTCAGAACACCATGTTTAATTTACTGTTACTATTCTTGAAACAGGAATAGGAAGTTGATTTAGTGGTCTTGTTTTACCCAATACAAGGCTTTGCAGCAGATACAAACATAATTTGTACCAAGTGTTAGCAAACTGACTAGGGAAAATCCCTATAAACATTGCAATAAAGCCAGGGACTGTCTTATTGGCATTATGTTATAAAAATGATTTGATACATTTTGTGACAATCTCACTTCTCCTGGCACCACTTGATTTTGTACTAATAAATTTTTGTCTAGGTACGTACTATGGCTAAGTCGTTGTCTGTTTTCATATTACCATATCATTGTGACTATACAAATCATATTTGTGGTTGCTTCAACCATCTGAGGCAAATTGAGTTATTGAAACATTGATCAAGACCATGTTACCCCCATACGAATCCTGTTTGCACTCACTGTAACACTATTGTACGGTCTTCCTCAAATTTTACACTTGTTTTGTTAATACAAAGTGAATTTCAATTTACCAAATTACATAATTATATTATGTTTTTGAAGATCACTACATCAATGTATGAGTTTTGCTGATACAATCATTGGGATGACAAGAAATAAGCATAACTTGTCATATTGACTCGCAGGTCACATTGGTGATCAACGTCAAGGAACTCTGGCCATACCTTCATATCTGACATTTTCATAATGCACTGGTCCAACTGGTTTACTCATGGCCTCAGCTTCCTCTTCTTCCCACTTTTTACGAAGCATTTCTCGTTTCATGTCAGCAGAAAGAAGATCTGGTTCATCTTCAGTGTTTGAACTAGTGATGAACAAATGTAAATTAAAGTTATTGTGAGTTCACAGACAAAAGTAGGCCCTCTAGTGGCCAGAAAATGTGAAGCATTTCACAAAATTTGTTTATATCAATATATACTAACAGAGTTGTTACAAAACAAGAAATACATAATTTATATTTCACAAAATTCAGGTTCCATTATATCAAATCATCGGATTAAAGAAGAAAATCATAGTTATTTGTTAACAAAAAATGTCATGACCTATTTCATGAAAGAGATTGTTCGTCAGTAAAGGCAGTGAAACTGACTTGTCAAACTATCAAGTAAGCCTACATCTTTAAGTACTTCTGGTTTTGACACTGTTAAAAAATATATTTTCCTAATAAACAGCTACCGAAATACATTTCCTCAATGTTGATTTCACAATACATGTGATACTTCCCACTTATTTTACACCACAGTTGTAAGCAGATCTGTCTAAATAAAGTTTATAAGTTTCGATGGAAGCAAATAGAACATGGTGTATTTACCTTTTTAATGCAGGATTCAAGTCCTTGTCAAGATCTTGAAGATATTTTAAATCCTTTTTCATGCATCTTCTTGACCTACCTAGGGAGTCTGTGTAGTCCACCCTAGCAACACAGAGAAATTGATTTACCAGAATATAAATTTACCAAAAACTAAATCACTGACTAAAAATCAGAATCTGAGGTTGAAATCACAGACTGGAATCAGAATTTTGGTGGAAATCACTGACTGGGATTGGAATCTGAGATGAAATCACCTACTAGAATTTGAATCTCAGATTGAAATCACAGACTAGAGTCAGCAATTGAGATTGAGATTGAAATCAACTACTGGAATCTGAATCTGTGGCTCAAATTATAGACAAGAATCAGAATCTGAGGTTAAAATTTTAGACTGTAATAAGAATCTCCGGTTGAAATCACTATCTTAAATCAGAATCTGATGTTGAAATCACTGACTGACTGGAATCCGAATCTGAGGTTGAAATCACAGACTGAAATCTGAATCTGAGGTTGAAATCACAGACTGGAATCTGAATCCGAGGTTGAAATCACTGACTGGAATCCGAATCTAAGGTTGAAATCACATACTGAAATCTGAATCTGAGGTAGAAATCACAGACTGGAATCTGAATCTGAAGTTGAAATCACAGACTGAATTTGAGGCAAGTGTCATTGCTTGATGCCTTACCACTCATCTCCAGGGTCACATGATGCAGGAATATCACCACTAATTACATCTTCTTCATCTTTTCGTTGTTGCTTCCTTTTCTCTTCTTCTTGTCTGTCAATTACTTTCTGCGTGAAATCTACCATGTATTTCTCATCATCTTCTGTACAGAAATGTGAATATTAATTAGATAATTTGCATAAATAAATATTTTTGCTATCATACATTGAAAAGAATTTGTTCATTGCGATATTGATTTTGCTCTACTTTTAAATATTGATAGTTGATCTTTTGCTTTTAGGCATAACATGACTTGATTCAATAACACAAATTGGTGAAATTGAAAACTGGTATACATGTACTGTGAAGTGAATTAACTCAACAGAAACCAATGCAAGCTTACTGAGAGAAATAAAAGAATCGTTCATTTTTTGACACTGACATGATTTGAATGAACAGTAATAATAATAATATTATTCTAATAATAACAATACCTGGCCATAACTGCCCTCTTGCCATCTTATCATACAATGCAGCCTTAGTTTCCAATGCTGACCTGTCAATCATCAAATAGAAGAATTTGAATGCTTTTTAATAGTGAAAAAGTTCAAATTCAGAGGAATCCAAAATCACTTCATTTGTGAGAATATATGTACTTGGTATAAATTCTCATCAATTTGTTGACGAGATATCAAATTTTCACCATTTCATTGCTTTACAGTTCACTCTTTTTATCACAAATTCACTAAATAGACCTGTTTATAGTTTGCACTTTCTTTCAGAACAAAAATAGTACAATTTTTTTAGTGAAAATTGACTCAAATTTTGTCTGTTGACTCCAAAATTCAAGTTCATTTTCAGGAATATTGAAGAATATAAAAAAAAATTGCAGACAAATTTGGTCAAGAAAATCTGGTGAATACAATTTGTCCCAATGACTTCAGAATACAGGATGTGTTTCTCACTTTGATTTGGCTAAGCTGTCCTTTTCTTCACTATCTTGCTTCCTGTCTTTTTCAGCTCTATTTTGTACACCAATATTCTGCTTGCTAAACAAGTTGGACTTCTAAAATGAAGAATATTATGCACATTAAAGAATTTGTACTATAAAGTTTAGCTTTATTAGAAATGCATAAAAGCCAGGACAGTTTTTCTCTTAGTAGTGACTATCAGCTCACTTTGTATATAATGCTGACTCTTTATCAAGGAATATTGCTTAAAATGGCCATCGTTGATGTGAGTGTATTTTTGTGTGAATTAACATCGTTGTCCCTACATGTATACAAGTATACACCTGGTCACGGCAAACAATGTCCTTTCAGCAAGCATGCATTTCGAATAAACTAAATGCTGTATAAAAAATTTAAAAAAAAAATTATTTTCACTATTTTGAAATTTGAGCATATTCACTGTGTTTTAATTTTACAAATTTGTCAAGGAAACAAGAGTTTTATGTTTAATTTACATGTTACATGTTTACATGTTTAATTTAGCGGATTTTACACATCAGTGAAAAATAGCGAAATTAAAACCCAGGGAATAAATAATGCATTTACAGTACAGCATTAACTATAGGAACTTTTTTTATTGAAACTGTTTTTCATGATTAATAATTTTAAAATAATTGCCAGGGGGGGAGTTGCATGACACGATTGGTTGAAATAATAGTCTCATTTGCATAAATTAATATTCATGAGCAATAAAAAACTCATCTTTTCAGTAAAATTGTGCCAAAATGCTTTCCGATAGCATACATGTTAGTTCTAAGTTGACTGATATCATCGTTACAAGCTGAAAAAATAATCGGAAAAATGATGTAAAAGTATTTTTTGAGACACGTTTTCGATCAGACTCCAGCTAACTGTTGAAAGTAAGCACAGGTTTTCTCATTACCATGATCATAGCAAGTTACAAAATTTATGAAGAGTGCAGAGGCACATTTATATTTCACTCTAGTACTATTGCTCAAAATTGCTCAAAATGTTTTTGGTGACTTTTATTAGTGACAAGTTATCTAATTAGTATGCATTTCGAGAAACCACAGTGTGTGTGCATGCGCAGTTTGAAATGGAACAGATTTGAATGCAATAAAATCACGCGTAGAACTCAGGCTCCAGCAAGAAATTGTGGCGTCAAACTGGTTGTCGGTTAATTGTTTTCCAATAGACAATAATTTTGGGGCCTGTAGTTGTCTATGAAATGTTTCTAAGTTTTGTTGAGGATTATTCTGTAAAGAAATTGCTGAAATTATTTCATCTGTTCGTAAACGGGACGTTGTTGCTTTGACGATGGGCTACGGATGACTGACGTCGAAACGTTCCATTCAGATCGGATGGTGCCCTCTCGTGCCAATCCCCCCCTGATAATTGCTATCTTGTATTGCTTCCATAATTGGACCACTTTAATTTTACTAAAA